TTTTTTTTTTTTTTTCCCCAATTAACAAAAAATGTCAAGTTCTTTATGGTTTTACTTTTAGTTTTAGAGTTAACGATAATAACTCTGATTCCCCTTTAACATTAAGTTTGCATTAAGCTGGAACAGTACACATTAAAAACTTACAGTATATAAAATACATAATACACACAAGTGCTATAAATCCTTGTGAATTTATATACCTTGTGAATAAGTGAACTTGACTCTGACATTGTTTTGCTGAAAGCACACCCACACAATTATTCAGTGAAGGGTTGTCGATGACAAGGAGTCAGTATAAATCCACATTCTGACTCTAGCTGACTAATGCAGACCTCCAACTGATGTGGCTGCCTGAACAAATCACATCTGCAAAACATTGATGCAAAGGACTTCTAGAGCCTGAGATTACTTTGGCAAACCCATCAATTCACAGCAAATGATTGGCATTAACTCAGCTATTTAATGTGTACTCTAGTACAGCATCAGAAAGCCTAGTTATGATGAGGTCGTTTAAAATTGCATGCAGTTGTGTTTATTTGTCTGACATGACTGACGTTGCTGTCTGGCCCATATCTATATATACAGTTTAATGATAGCCACCATGCTCAATATTAATAAATGTGAATTACTCCTGATTAAAAAATGTGCTGTATCATCTCTCTGCAATATTCCCATCAAAGAGAAAGCCACGTATTTAGTAATCAAAATAATAAAAGATATTAAACTAAGATGTCAGGAGAATTTTAACCCAATTGTGGAGAAAACTAAAAAAAAAATTTCATCTTTGGTTATTAAGAGATCTTTCTCTGAAAGGTAGTACTTTGCTTACTAAAGCGGAAGGTATCTCTAGATTATCCTATGCTGCTCATTCCTTATTTGTAGATAAACCAACCTGTAAGTTGATTGATGTAATGTTGCTTAAATTTCTTTGGAAAAATAAAACTCATTATATTAGAAAATCTGTTATTTTAAATTCTTATAATAAGGGCGGTTTAAATTTTATTGACTTTGATTCTCTTAATAACACTTTAAAAATTAATTGGCTTAAATGCTTTCTCCACAATCAGTCTTCTATTTGGAGTGTAATCCCTCGATATGTCTTTTCACAATTAGGTGGTATACATTTTTTATTAATGTGTAATTATTCCATTAGTAAATTCCCTATCAAACTTTCCAGTTATCATCAGCAAATGCTTTTGGCTTGGAAACTTATTTACAAGCATAATTTCTCGCCACACAATTTTTTTATTTGGAACAACTGTAATACTTTACATAAGAGGAAATCCTTGTTTCTGGAAAATTGGTTCAGTAATGGAGTGATGTTAGTGAACCAATTGTTTGACAATGATGGCAATTTGTTTAATTATTCAGATTTTATTTTAAGATATCACTTTCCTGTATCTAGAAAAGAATTTAATACAGTTTTAAAGGCCATCTCTCGGGAAATTTGTATGCTTTTTAGAAATAATAACAGTGGCTCACTGATTTCTGTTTGCCCCCCCAGTCCTGAATCCACTGTGGTTGGTTCTATTTGTTTCTCTGTTCAAAAATCCAATCACAAAATCAGGTCTTTATTTTTGGACCTTGTTACCTCTAATTCTTCCTCCATTTCTTATTGGAACAACCTTTTTGATGATATTAAGTGGGCATATGTTTGGTCACTCCCTCTGAAATTTTTCTTAACAAATAAAGTTAAAGAAATATCTTATAAAATAATTCACAGGTTTTATCCTGTCAAGCAGTTTTTGAGGAAATTTAAAGGTGACATTGATACATTTTGTTCGTTCTGTGAATTTTCTTCTGAAACTGTAGCTCATTTGTTTTGGGAGTGTACCTTTGTTCAGTCTTTCTGGAATAATCTTAATGCTCTGATTGTCCAAAATATTTTTTACGATTTCTCTTTGTGTTATAAACACATTATTTTTTGGGTTTTATGCTAAAGATAAGAATCTATTTAATGCAAGTTTTTGTAAAAACCTCCTGTTATTTATTGGAAAGTTTTATGTCCATAAATGTAAATATACTAAATGTAAACCCCACTTTAACATCTTCAGACAAGAACTGAAGTTGTATTTAAATACAATTTCAACGTCTGTTAACAAGAAAGCTATAAAAACATCTAGAATTTGTGCCATGTTTAAGATTTTTCCCTAATATACTTGTATTTCTATTTGTGTGCCTTTTTTTTCCTCTCTTCTTTTATTTTCTTTTTTCTTCTGTCCTTTTCTTAAGAATTTTTATATTATATTGTTTTTTTTTTCTGTGATGTTTTATCTATTAATCCTCAAGTAGTTTATTATTGATTGGTATTTTGTATGTTTTGTACGTACTGTGTTTTACTGTTTGTTTTGTACGTACTGTAATCCCTGTTGTTTACTGCAATAAAAAATAATAATAATAATAATGATAGCCACCAGTGTTTGCGCAATTCCCTAAAGATTAGCGAGTTTGTTTGGCTGCTAACAATGCCAAATCATGGAGTCACACATAACAGCAGCCAAAAAGGGTTACAATTTGACCGTCTCGGCTGTGGTTATTTAAATTCAGATTGACAAAGGCAAATAACTTACCTGTATTACAAAATAGCTGACTAACCGTTGTTCCTTGGCTTAGGGTGAACTAGCATGCTGGCTAAACACAATCCTTTGTACCTTCATTCAAGTTTGTCTGTTCAACTGATGCATCTCTCGGTAATAACAGCTATATTAAACTGAAGATGGGAGTCCTCGTGCGCATTATGAGTGGCTGTCGGCTCGTGTGGAAGCAGCATCTCTGTTTGTCTGCTTATAAGGCTAACGATGATGTTTACAAACACGCTCGTGACTACTCTCTCTCTCTCTCTCTCTCTTTCAAACATATTCTCTCTCACTCTTTCTCTCTTTCTCTGGCTGGTGGAGGTACCAGATGCTGATCCCTTGGGGTTCCAGGGCTCTGGCCTTCTCCCCACCCTGGTGTCCTGCCAGATCTTGAGAGAGAGGGACATGGAGATGGGTTGAGGGTGGAGCACAGCTTGTCCTGCTCTTATCCCAGATGGCTGTTGTGGCAGTACTCTCTCGCTCTCTGTCCACTTTTTCTCTTATCTTATTTCTTTCATCTACTGTTTTTTTTTCCTCATTCAATCACATTATCCTTCTTTAAATATCGCATGCGATTTATCGTGCAGCCCTAGAACAAACACACAAAGTGGAATTGATGAGAAAAGGCTGAGGTCTTTAAAAAAAATCATCACAGTTTGCTGTCAAAAATGATTGCTATAGGAAATGAATGGGAAATACAAAACATACTAAAATACAGAGCAACTTTTGGCAGTACAGTCTACAAATCACCCATAATTTATTCAGAGATCACCATGAAAATAGCCTTGATGCTGGCATGGCGTTCTAAATCTACAAATCACCCTTAATGTAGTAGTTTTTGATCGCTCTGCGCAGCTGCGACACAGTCCTTCCACGCAGCTACAGGAGAGTGTTATTTTCACTACAGACTGGAAGCATTTTTTTTTTTTATAAGAACAGTAAAATCGCTTTATTTATGGTAAGTAGGCTTAAATCACACGGTGTGACTGATTTAGCTGATAATCTGAAGTCAAGTCTTATATGAGTCTATTTCTTTAAATCTGTGATCTAATTCGTTACACTGTATTTACATGCAACAAACTGATAACAACATGGCATTATATAATGTTATTCTGATAGGGGCTGAACTGCCAAAATTCTGCGATTTGTTCTCCACTGCTTATCATTTCCATACGTTTTTTTTTAAATCATAAATTAATTTTAATAAGCATCTTGCCATTGTTTCGTTGGCGAGTTTTCTGAAGTTTGGGAATGAATGTTTATGGCATCAAATCCATTTGCTTGCGTGTTGAGTCCAGTAAAACATCCACTGGTGATTTTCAGTAGTAACACTTTTGGAGGAGCGCTTAAGTTAATGATATGCTAACGAAAATAGTCAAATGTAAGAAAATAACACGACGTTATAAAATGTAATAAAGTTCATAAACTGTATTCGGTTCTTTGGACTGTAACTACGCACTGATGTTATTTGTGCAGAATGAAGAATTCTCTAGAAGCCTCAAGCTCGCACATTCACCCGCACAATTTGTTACGTAAGGAATTCATCTACTAGCTTTGTATTCTCATATACAGCTAAATTACAGATTTAGATATTATTATTATTATATTTTTAAAAATATGTTTCCCCAATAAAATCATAGATACTGTAACGTTTGTCGAGGCGGATACGCAGAAGCTGCACTGCGCAACAACGGCGCATAATTGACACACTTGAGTCCTAGCCGGCATGAGCCGGAAGTGTTCTGGCGAACTACCCCCGGAGGAGGTTAGTAACTCATAAAATGATGATAATAAATACATATTAAACGCTCCAGACTGTATCATATAACCTTGTTGTTTATGTGGTCATGCAATTATTCTGTTACTATAACCGGGAGCTTGCGTTATATGGAACTTTTACGCTGCGAGAGCCTCGGTTGGCAGCATTAGCTAACACTTTACAGATTTCCTTTATGCAAATGACTTCATACATTACACATTAAAATATGTGTTAAATGTTTGTTTCTTCCCCCTAAAATCTTACTAAAATGTTAAATAAAGTAAAGGTGCTTCGTGACTGGTCAGTTAAGGAATTTGTCAGAGGTGCTCGCGCCCCCTCACGATCAGACGGCGTCAGATGTTTGTGAACATGCAGCTCGTCTCTGCGATGTGTGTGTTTGTCTGATGATCGATGAGCTGAAGGCTCGCTGGTGTTTCAGGGGATGGAGGTGGACTGTCAGCCGGAGGACCTGTCGAGGTGCTTGTATGAGGAGCGCTGTGTGGAGCTGGGGGAGGTGAAGGACATGAGGCTGGAGGCTGAGGCGGTGGTCAATGATGTGCTCTTCGCGGTCACAGACATGCAGGTCTCTCACAGTCTCCTAAATCTACAAATCACCCTTAATGTAGTAGTTTTTGATTATCCACATGGAAAACCTAAAAAGTAAACAATTATGTTTGAAAATACTCTGAAAAGAAGTAACTAGAGAATACACAGTGACAGCCATATTGATATGGCTATTGAGATATCTAGTAGGGATGTAACAATTAACCACGAGCCGGTTGAAAATCGATTCAAATATGTGACGATTCAAATCGGTTGAGATGCTAAACAAATCTTATCCAAAGCGATTTACAAATGAGGACAATAGAAGCAATCAACACCAACAAAAGAGCAATGATATGCAAGTGTTATATTAGTATATTATTATATATTATATATTATTATATATATTATATTATAGTGTTATATTTCAATTTCACAAAAAAACGTGCAGCATTTTGTCCAAGCAATAGTAAAAGGACACATTTAATTTATAATTTGTCTTAAATCTCATTTTGTCAAAACCGATACTGCTTAGAGCTCACCGAGGCAGGGTTAAGGGTGAGTGATGCCAAACATGTAAACGGGTTTTTCATTTTAAGACTGACAGTTTGATGTTTTCCTGAGGATGTGGATGGGGTCCACTTTGGATCTACGCACCTTACCACCCCCTGGTGGTCTTCGGTCATTTTATTTAAAGCTGCAGTCCGTAAGTTTTGCATCTTTGTCGCCATCTCTGTTTGAAAACCTGCAATTGCAGCTGTGTGTGTAATTATCTTCCTTGCGTGGGTTGTGCGCTTTTCATTTAGAATTTGTCTTGGATCTCATTTTGTTAAAAAAAAAATGAATCGAATCGTGAAATCAAAATCGTGAATCGAATCGAATCGTGACTTGAGTGAATCGTTGCATCCCAGGTGATAGTTTTGAACACTGGCTGGTTATGTACTTGCTCAAATATTGATTTTGGATCATTTTTAACCAAAAAAAAGTTACGGACTGCAGCTTTAATGTTAAGAGTGAAAAGTTTTACGTTTTGATTTTTTTCTTCATATGAATGGTAAGAAAATTAGTGTGTGTGTGTGTGTGTGTGTGTGTCTATGCTTCTAACTCTCTGGTGGTCATTTTCTACCGAAATATTTTATGTTTTCACTTCATCAGAATGGTATGAAACTTTGACTTTTGTGCCACTTGTTATATGGAAATGAGAAAATATTTGAAAATGCTAAATGGTCTTTAAAAAATTGTTATAGTTCATGATCATAATTGACCACCATAGGTAATAAATAGGTAATATAGCATATCCAAAAATATTTAAATTTTTTTGGAGTGCAGTCTTCAAACCAGCCGTGATGTCTAAATATATATATGCAAATGTAATGTCTAAATATATATTAATCAGTGTTGAATATTGTCTTTCTAACTCTCTGGTGGTCTTTGTTAATTTTAGACCGAATAATGTAATGTTTTTATTATTCTTATTTTATTTTATTTACTTACTTTATCAGAATTGTATGAAACTTGGTAAATTTGTGGCACTTGCTATATGAACAAACTAGGGCTGCACGATAAATCGCATGCGATATTTAATGCGCATCTTGTCAGTAAAGCCGGTTCTGTAATCAGCGGTAAATCTCCATCACCTGCG